ATGGGCGGTGGAGGGGGGCAGGAAGATGGGCAGGAGGAGATGGGCGGTGGAGGGGGGCAGGAAGATGGGCGGTGGAGGGAGGGCAGGAAGATTTTGAGAAAATCAGGTGGAATTATGAGGATTCGAACCTGCTCGCTGACTTGATGGTTGTAACCTTTCATAACCCGTGACCCCTACTGATGACTCCGCTCTAAGTCCTCTTTATTCCCACCCAAATTCATTCGTATAGAACATACTCTTGAAACAGTGTAGTGATCCAACGTATATTACTGGTAATTTGTTCCATAAATGAATAAACATGTTAAAAATCAATATTTACCTAGACCTTTCCTGAATCTAAAGTAATCCAGTTTGTTTATTGGCTCAGGTTCTATTTTGTGTAGATGAATTGTCTCATTCATCCATTTATATATATTTAAATCATGTTACCGCGTCCCCCCCCCCCTTTACTCTTCGTCACTGGCCATGATTCCATTGTTTCATAATAAAATGTTGATTCTATGTATTGTCACAAACGCTTGCTACCTGAAAACAACACACACACACACACACACACACACACACACACACACACACACACACACACACACACACACACACACACACACACACACGCACGCACGCCAGTTCTCGTGTCCCTGGAGCAGGAGACCCTACTATCCACATGACACATGCGAATCCCCAGTAAGCAATGTTCTCTTTCATTGGTATGCGCGCAAGAGACGCCTGGTTTATGCAGTAACACTATGCTCAATTAAAAGTTTACACAGCATAATTGGCAAGTTTGTATACACACGCTATATACCGGATTGTGTGTGTGTGTGTACGGGCACTGCTTCATCTCTGCTGGGGAACTGATGGACAGTTTCATGATAGTCATTCCCCTGTCACCATTCTCTGGTGATCGTATCTCCAGTCATTTGAAGTCTCCAAATATCTTGAGTTAATTGAGATCATGTGTTAGGTGCATGCTTGGGCTCGTTGGTCACAACGTAGTTAATCCTTCGTCAGTTGTTGGGAGAACGTGGTTCGATCCCCGTGGACCTCGACACTGTGTATGTAACCTGTTGAGGATCAGAAACATGCAGCGCCTCCCTTGTTGTTATTGTACACTTGATACTGGACTTCATTTACCACTCTTGGCTCGTCCCTTGCTGGAGGTCGTTCGTGTGTCGTGCTGCGCACACACACACACACGCGCGCGCGCACACACCCACACACAGAGTGGACATAGACGAAATGTTCACACGGAATAGTAACAGAACGAGGGGACATGGATGGAAGCTTGAAACTCAGATGAGTCACAGAGATGTTAGGAAGTTTTCTTTTAGCGTGAGAGTAGTGGCAAAATGGAATGCACTTCAGGAACAGGTTGTGGAAGCAAATACTATTCATAATTTTAAAACCAGGTATGATAGGGAAATGGGACAGGAGTCATTGCTGTAAACAACCGATGCTCGAAAGGCGGGATCCAAGAGTCAATGCTCGATCCTGCAGACACAACTAGGTGATTACAACTAGGTAAGTACACACACGCACGCACACGCAGAGTGCCTCATTTACCGAGGATCACTGTTCTCAGGCGTGTGACGTTTCAACCCATGACTTGTTAAACATGTCAATGGACATTTTTAACAATGGTGGCGGTTTAGTCTTGCGAGAGCATGAAAACAGCACACATACTTTGAGTGTAGTATTTCATAGCGCCTCAACGTTGCATATTTTTTGGCATTTGCGAGGAAAGCTGCCACGTGTCCCGCGGGCGGGGCCAGAAGCCCAGCTTGCTGTGCTCAATGGCAATCGATGCACGTTAAGCCGAACAGGTGAGGCCCGGCTACGGCCATTGTTCTCTTTTTTTTTTTTTAACCTTTTACAAAACCTTTTACTCTTAAAACTAATTTTATATAAAATTTATTACAAAATTTCTAGTTAATTAATAGGATTTTGCCAGGAGTTGATACTAGGCCGGTGATAATTTGACTTAGAAAAAATAGTAATATTGTAGTTGCCGTGTTCACACGTACAATTGAACACGTCCACGTGAACAAGTCCCCGTGAACACGTCCACGTGTTCCCATCGTCAGGGGAACACCCTGGGAACATACTCGTCAGGGGAACACCCTGGGAACACACTCGTCAGGGGAACACCCTGGGAACACACTCGTCAGGGGAACACCCTGGGAACACACTCGTCAGGGGAACACCCTGGGAACACACTCGTCAGGGGAACACCCTGGGAACACACTCGTCAGGGGAACACCCTGGGAACACACTCGTCAGGGGAACACCCTGGGAACACACTCGTCAGGGGAACACCCTGGGAACACACTCGTCAGGGGAACACCCTGGGAACACACTCGTCAGGGGAACACCCTGGGAACACACTCGTCAGGGGAACACCCTGGGAACACACTCGTCAGGGGAACACCCTGGGAACACACTCGTCAGGGGAACACCAACTTCCCTAGAGTTAGAGTACAGGTAACACAGCATACTCAATAGGCAAAACAAAAGGAGACTGCTATTAATACGTGTGATTTATGATTCCTTGCAACACTAGATCCTGTGCCCCCGCCCTTCTGGGTGGGTTAGTGAAGTGCAGTGTGCCTCGCAGATATTATACAATGCTGGGCATTGTATCGTTTTAAAAAGTTAATTAATTGTAAGCATTTTTAAATGATTGATTAGGAAAGTGGGAGAGAGACGGGTGTGTTTTAAAAAGTTCACTATTTTTAAGCATTTCAAATGATTGATTAGAAAAGTGGGAGAGAGACGGGTGTGTTTTAAAAAGTTCACTATTTTTAAGCATTTCAAATGATTGATTAGGAAAGTGGGAGAGAGACAGGTGTGTTTTAAAAAGTTCACTATTTTTAAGCATTTCAAATGATTGATTAGAAAAGTGGGAGAGAGACGGGTGTGTTGTGTATTCACACTGGAGTTTTGTGGTAATTGTGCAGGTTTAATTGTAAATAGAAGTCATGCTTAACAAAAGGAGCAGACTCGGACAAAATATTTAATAATTACTGTTTATGTTCATATATATTGTTAAGTAAAAGGTTCAGCTTTTCCACTGACATAAATAATGGTTAGATTACGTTGCTAGTTGTGCCGAGTGACCACCCAATTACTACGCCGTCTTCAAGTTAATACACACAAGCTGTGTTAATCATGGCAGCTGTTGTTAAAATAAATAAAAGTAGAGTCACACAGTGTTCGGAGACCACACCTGTGTGTACCTGTTGACTCGTCTCTAGGGCCTCATATCCACTCCTATTAGTGCTGACAATCACTGAAATAGTGCGTAAACAACTGATACAAGCAGAGCACTTACACGGCTTAAGTGTCGATTAGTCTTGTGTCTTGAATGAGAAGAAACATGTGATACGGAAGGACTTTGGATTGACTCAGGTGCTGATGGTAATGAGTACAGCTTGTTATTGACAGCGCTAGAGTGTTGCCTGCTGTGAGTGATGATCACTACACCTGGGCCCAGTCGGGGGGGTGTTGGCCCACCTGGGCCCAGTCGGGGGGGTGTTGGCCCACCTGGGCCCAGTCGGGGGGGTGCTGGCCCACCTGGGCTCAGTCGGCAGGTCGGGGGGGGGGGGGGGGGTGCTGGCCCACCTGGGCGAGTCAGGGTGTGCAGGTTACCAAGCTAGGAATGTTACACCGTAACATCCACGTTGTTGTTGTTGTTGCAGACGTAATATTATAGGTTGGAATAGAGGTGTTGCTGGCGGGGTTGTAGTGTAGAGGCGGTGCTGGTGAGGATTACGGTCACTCACTCAGGTGGAGTCATGCCTCGTCACACCACAGACCAGAGGAAATTACCTTAAACTACTGGAGGAAGCAAGATTGTAATATCTGAGTAATAATATCTGAATGTGTGATTGTCGGCCGTGCTGTGGGTGCTTGCTGATGGTACCTGGTGGTACAGCCACCCGCCAGTACCGTCACTATGGTACCCACTCCCTGCTGGGTAGATAACAAGGTTCGACGCTCCCGTCGTGAACTTAACGCCAATCCCTGGCTCAGTATCATCCGAGTCACCAGGATGTGCGGTGTTACTGACCCGTGTTAGAAGATTGCTTGTTACTGACCTTCCCCAGGATACAACCCACAACAGTCGGCTAGCTCCCGATGACCTATTTACCTTTATGTAAACAGAAGTATCAAATATAAGGAAATGTGCCCAACGTCTCCGTCCTGGCCGGGAATAGAACGCAGGAACTTTCGGTGGTAAAGTGAGTCTTGATTACTGCGGTACAGGATCATTGCGTGATTAAACTGCATACCGTAGTTACCAGTTTCTATTTTTAAGTTTACATTGATAGCTCTGTCAGTGACCCCATTGCAGTGACGCCATGTTAGCAGTGATTATCAAAGAACCGCATCGCATACTTGATACATTTGAATGTCGTTAAACAAGACTTGTCCTTGTGTGGCCAACATGTGTTCTAGAGATAATAATAATCAATAATAATATTGATTATTATTGATCAATAATAATCTGTCAATAATCCTGTGACTCGCCCGTCCTAAACAGTTCTCCATAATTCACTGGATCGAGTTCGTGTGTATGACTGGTGGATGGGGGTCGACGCTTTGATCACCTTCAAGTGGGAACGGCAGAAATTTTTTTTTCGCTCCAAGAAAACGTTCAAAAGAAACGTTCAAAGGAACGCTCAGGTCGGTTTTGGCTAATTTGAGTGGTGGTGTAGCTGTAGCTTGAGTCAGTGCTGATCCTTCCACCTGTGACAACTGCCGGGTGCATAACTAATCAGTGGACAACCATGTTTATTTTCTATTTATTTATTATAGGATTGTATTTTTGTTTTCAGAAGAGCGCAATTTTAAGTACAGGAGTTAAAACGACATGAGTGACATGTTTGATGTCGCAATTTAGTGAAGAGTGACATGTCGTTGATGTCGTCGATGTTGATGCGCAATTTTAAGTACAGGAGTTAAAACGACATGAGTGTGACATGTTTGATGTGTTTCAGAGAGCGGGATGAGTGTGGTGTCGGCGGCCAAGCGGGTGGTGCGGTGGTGCCCCACGCGGGCCCTCAGACGGGGCCTCTACTTCCTCCTCCTCTGGTGCTCTCTCTGCTACCTCGTCTTCAGGTGAGTCTCTCTCCTTACCTCCACCATATTGCTTGTACTTCACCACCAACCACTTTACCCTTCCCAGGGGCGGGGGCCAAAGGCTGAGTTACATAATCACAACTCCACTCTAATGTTAACCTAAGCATTTTACATACCTTGTGCTGCCCTGTAGAGGTTTCGGGGATGAACGGGCCCAGCGGCCCGGTCTCCGACCAGGCCTTTTGGTTGGTCGTCTGGTCATCCAGGCTGTGGGACGCAGCTGCTCGCAGCCTGACGTGTAAATCACAGCCTGGTTGATCAGGTATTCACGTATATGTTGACCATGTTTCAATTTCATTTATATTTCGTTTCCCAGTGTCGTATACAGAAGCATTATGGGCTTGAGGTCCCTCCTAGACCAACCACTGACCTGCCCCCCCCCCAAATGCAACTCCACAACAGTTGCATAACTTCCTAGCACCTATTTACTGCTAGGTGAACAGCGGCATCAGGTGTTTAGGAAACTTGTCTAAATGTCATTGCTGTGTCCGGGAATGGTTGAGCGGAACACTGGGCTACAGACGGGCCGCGATACAAGGACAAGGGCCGCATTGTGAGGCTATACATACAGAGCCCACGCCTGACACAGTTGTAACACTTGGCTAACAATACTCTGTAATTGTGGATACATATTTTATGAATATAGTTGATTTCAAATTATTGAAATTTTAAACGTAGTGATGTAGGCCACTAGTGTATGCGGACAGTTTTGCATCACAGGTAATTTGCAGTCATATGTACACCAGGTGTACAAATTTCAACCCGTTCTCGCACTTTCGTATAGTCAATATTGACTTATTAAATACGTGCATATGTGACATACTAAACATACTAGTTTACCTAGTGATTAGGAGTCAGATCACCAATTTCATGGAGACCAATGACCTTCACAACCCAGGCCAACATGGATTTCGAGCGGGAAGATCGTGCCTCTCACAGCTACTTGAGCACTACGACAAAGTCACTGAGGCATTAGAAGAAAATCAGATTGCTGATGTGATATACATGGACTTCGCAAAGGCTTTCGATAAATGTGACCATGGCGTGAAAGCACACAAAATGAAGTCAATGGGAATAACCGGTAAAGTAGGACGCTGGATACTCAGTTTTCTGTCAAACAGGACTCAGCGAGTAACGGTCAACCATATAAAATCTAGTCCAAGTGCAGTTAAAAGCTCTGTACCTCAGGGTACAGTCCTTGCACCGCTGCTTTTCCTTATTCTCATATCAGATATAGACAAAAATACAAGTCACAGCTTCGTATCATCCTTTGCAGATGACACAAAAATCAGTATGAAAATTACCTCGGCTGAAGACATTGAAAAACTTCAAGCTGATATTAATAAAGTTTTCGACTGGGCATCAGAAAATAACATGATGTTTAACAGTGATAAATTCCAGGTACTCAGGTACGGTAAAAATGAGGACCTTAAACATAATACAGAGTACAAAACACAATCAAATCTGCCCATAGTAGGAAAACAGCATGTAAAGGATTTGGGAATAATAATGTCTGACGACCTAACGTTTAAGGAGCATAACCAAGCAAATATTGCGACAGCCAGAAAATGATAGGATGGATTACGAGAACTTTCAAATCCAGGGATCCCATCACAATGGTTGTACTCTTCAAGGCACTTGTGTTGTCCCGTCTCGAGTACTGCTCGGTACTCGCTTCCCCCTTCAGAGCAGGAGAGATTGCTGAAATAGAGGGAATACAGAGAACATATACGGCACGCATAGACGCAATAAAGCACCTAAATTATTGGGATCGTCTCAAAGCCATCCAAATGTACTCACTAGAAAGAAGACGAGAGAGAGATCAAATAATATACACCTGGAAGATACTGGAGGGCCAAGTACCAAATCTACACAGAAAAATAACAACGTACTGGAGTTAACGATATGGAAGAAAATGTAGAATAGAACCAGCGAAGAGCAGAGGTGCCATAGGCACAATCAGAGAACACTGTATAAACATCAGAGGTCCGCGGTTGTTCAACGTCCTCCCAGCAAGCATAAGAAATATTGCTGGAACAACCGTGGACATTTTCAAGAGGAAACTAGATTTATTCCAGCCCGTCCTCCAAAAATGGGGTGGTAAATGTAAGAAGACAATTAAGTGCAATTATGTACTATTCATAGCAGTTAGGAATTGTACTTATTTTCACTTAGTATTAAATCGTACTGTCAAATATATTGTGAATATTTGAGTTTACCTGAAAAACTGAATAGAAAACGACAACCTCACCTAACCGTCTTAGTTTTTGAAGATAATAATTTTATTGCTTCCTAATTACAATTAGTACTTAACTTATAGCTATATTGATATTACAGTTTTATAAAACTAATAAAACAAAACTAAAATATATCAATAAATTGTAAATTAACTCAGGATATTTTAAAATTTTGCATAAAATCTATGTTGTTTAATAAACCTGAAAAAGAAATTCCTGATATTTAAAACTTGTGTATTGCAAATCGAAATTGAAAACGTCATCCTAAAATTCTGAGTGACTTAACAGAAAACGAGAAAAATTAAAGCGGGGGAGGGAGTTGGGTCAATGTAACAGCCCCGTAAGTGCAATTATGCACTGCTTATTACAGTAAGAAAGTGTACTTATTACACTTAGTATTAAATCGTACTGTCAATTCGGAGGATGGGTTGATTTATTCCTCCAAGGAGTGCCGGACCAACCGGGCTGTGGTGGGTATGTGGGCCTGCGGGCCGCTCCAAGCAACAGCCTAGTGGACCAAACTCTCACAAGTCAAGCCTGGCCTCGGGCCGGGCTTGGGGAGTAGAACAACTCCCAGAACCCCATCAACCAGGTATCAACCAGGTTAACCTTGAAAAGCTTCACAGAAAACACCGACCTTACCTAACCTTCTTAGTATGTTAAGATAAGCATCTTATTGCTTCGTAATTACAATTATTACTTAACCTATTATAGGTATACCTATTATAGGTATAGGTTAAGTAATAATTGTAATTATTAGGTAGGTATACCTATTATAGGTATAGGTTAAGTAATGTAATTACGAAGCAATAAGACGCTTATCTTAACATACTAAGAAGGTTAGGTAAGGTCGGTGTTTTCTATGAAGCTTTTCAAAGTAAACTAGTATGTCACATATGTACGTATTTAATAAGTCAATATTGACTAAGAAAGTGCGAGAACGGGTTGACAAATTTGCAGTCAGAGGTGGCTGAGCTGTAGAGCTATGGCTCTTCTTGTGACTTTATGATACAATTTAGTTGAGGCTCTTGGTCTGTTAGGCCTATTGTGGCACACTAGATTGCTGCTTATAAGGTAAGGTAGTCATCCTTTAAACGTATAAACGTTCGCTAGCTCATTAGTTCCACCATGTACTCCGAGGCCAACACAGGGTGGAATCCACTTGAAATTCATATAATACACTCGAGAGATTCTGTGGAGCAGAACTGGGATGGAACCAGGGTCCTGGGTAACCCCAGACGCGCGTCTTAACCCATGAACCACAATGATAAAAGGTAAAACATACCTAGAGTATACCTTGAGAGGGTTTCGAGAGTTCTACTCCCCGAGCCCAGCCTGGGGCCAGGTTGGTCACACAATTAAGGCCATTCAGACCCAGTAGGACACACAAATCACAATAACGTGATGCATCTATGAACAAATAGATAGTCTCCGTGGTGTAGTGGTAAGACACTCGCCTGGCGTTCCGCGAGCGCTATGTCATGGGTTCGTATCCTGGCCGGGGAGGATTTACTGGGCGCAATTCCTTAACTGTAGCCTCTGTTTAACGCAACAGTAAAATGTGTACTTGGATGAAAAAACGATTCTTCGCGGCAGGGGATCGTATTCCAGGGACCATAGGATTAAGGACTTGCCCGAAACGCTACGCGTACTAGTGGCTGTACAAGAATGTAACAACTCTTGTATATATCTCAAAAAAAAAAAAAAAAAAAAAAAAAAAAAAAAATCCACAAGGGCCGAAATCCACAGTCGATTAAGGCAGCGTCTGCGATGATCTCGGACGTAGGTTCGAATCCTCGTCACGCCCCTTGTGGATTTGTTCATTTATCCAGTAGGAGTCTGGAGGTTCAGAAGTAGTTGCCAACCCAAGTCTTACACGCACCCCGTATCACACTCTGGGGGTTAGTAATGGAGTTCTCCACTAAACGCTCCCTTCAAATGCACAATAGAATCACAATAATGGGATAGTGAGAAAATCTTTCCGTCCTGCTCCAAAAATTCGTTCATATCATGTTCTTCTAATTTCACTGTGTCCGGTTATTAATGAAATAACTTGTTTAGTCCCCAAGTTGTGAGTCGCCTCAGGCACGGCTCTCATTCCAAACTGAGGGAAACATTAAACTCCTCAATACTCTGGGGCGGGGAAGGGGCAGTTAGTTTACCTACACCACTCCCAATAGTCATTAGCACTAAGAATATAATTGTTTTTATTAACCTGCAGTGTCATACAATTTTGTTATACCCGAGAAAAAGAACATATATTGGAAAACAAATAATTTTTTTTTCTTTGGCGTTGATTGTTAATATACGTTTTCCCGGTCACACAATTTCAAGTCCCTAGTTGAGGTCATTAGTGGCACCCATTGGAGCCAGCAATCGCTGCAACGTTGTATTTAATATACATATACGACATGATATCGAATATGAACAATGATATTCCGTAGTTGTTGTCTACATACACAAAAGTACGTGTATTCATCTAGTTGTGCTTGTGGGGGTTGAGCTCTGCTCTTTTGGCCCGCCTCTCAACTGTCAATCAACTGTTACTAACTACTATTTTTTTTTCTCTCGCTTCCACCCACACCACACACACCCCAGGAAGCGGCCCGTGACAGCTGACTAACTCTCAGGTACTTGTTTACTGCTAGGTAACAGGAGCATCAGAGTGAAGGAAATTCTGCCCATTGTTTCTCGCCGGCGCCCGGAATCGAACCCGGGACCACAGGATCTCGCGCACAGCGTGCTGTCCGCTCAACCACCGGCCCCTGTAGCTTGCGTGTGTGTACTCAGTTGTGCTTGAGAGGGTTGAGCTCTGGCTCTTTGCTCCCGCCTCTCAACTGTCAATCAACAGGTGTACAGGTTCCTGAGCCTACTGGGCTCTATCATATCTACACTTGAAACTGTGTATGGAGTCAGCCTCCACCACATCACTGCCTAATGCATTCCATTTATTAACTACTGTTGACACAAAAAAATCTAATGTGTGTGTCTCATTTGGGTATTCAGTTTTCATCTGTGTCCCCTTGCTCATGTTCCACCCGTTTGTCTTTGTCCACCCTGTCAATTCCTCTAGGAATTTTGTAAGTGGTGGCCCTTACTCGTGTCATCCAGGGACGTAAGGTTTAGCTCCCGTAGCCTTTCCTCGTAACTCATACCTCTCAGTTCTGGGACCAGTCTGCTGGCACACCTCTGAATCTTCTCTAACTTTGTCTTGTGTTAAAACTAGGTATGGACTCCAGGCTGGAGCTGCATACTCCAGGATTGGTCTGACATAGGTGGTATACGTGGTCCTGAACGATTCCTTACACAAGTTTCCACATGAGGTTCTTACGTTGGCCAATCTAGCATATGCAGCTGATGACCTTCTGATGTGGGCTTCTAGGGTCAGGTTCGGTGTGATATTAACCCCCAGATCTTTCTCTGTATGCAGGCGAGGAGTCACAATAACGTGGCAAAATTATGTTGACCAGACCATACACTAGAAGGTGAAGGGACGACGACGTTTTGGTCCGTCCTGGACCATTCTCAAATCTCACAATCGACTTGAGAATGGTCCAGGACGGACCGAAACGTCGTCGTCCTTTCACCTTCTAGTGTGTGGTCTGGTCAACATCTTTCTCTGTACTTGACTCATGCAGGATTTCACCTCCCAGATGGTACCTTTGTGTAACCAGGAGCATAATATAACCTTATTAAACACATTAGCTTTAATTAATGGTAATGTATTATCTCGATGGAAAGAGTGAAATGTTAGCTGTATTTTATACCCGTTAAGCTATCTCAAATTAAAATTTAATTATGTTAATTATGAGATAGCTGATGCGGGCAAATTCAACGACTCTAAAAATAGTTAAGCAAAAAACTCTATAACATGATATTAATTGTCTTTTATTTTTAATAGTTTATGACATTTAAGCCCAGTAGTTGGACCAACAAAATGTGTTGACTGTTACAGCAGTTTTCCAACCCTTGCTGCTCCTCATTCTCTCCCTATCTCTTTGTCATACATTTAGAGTCACGCTCTCATATTTAATTCAGTATGGCATGTATCAGTGAAGATGCGTCATGAAAAACGTAAATTAGTAATTAAACAAGTTTTACTTTATAGCAGTTTTACAAAGGATAAATTATTCTTAAAATTGTTTAATTTACTTTTATCAACTGTTTTTTATTTGCAAGACAGTAAGTTGCAATTTAGTGTCTTACAATCTTATTAGTCTGCAACCTCGACATGTTAAGTCTAGCAACTTTAATGTGTAAACTCAAGATTCCATTATTTGTTTGTATTCTAAATGTTTATTTCGGCCAACTTGGATTCAGTCTTGGGAAAAACACGTTTTCCTAGTCCTAATTCAGGAAAATACAATGACCTGTAAATTAAGTTACAGTAACTTGAATTGAAAGGTATTAAATATTATACAATCTGTATAACATAAAAGATGTGAAGTAATTTCACAGTAATCATGATAATGGTGTTTCAGGTTCTCTGGGCAAGAGGAGTCTGGATTTAGCCGGGGAGGGACGATGACTGGCCGCCTCCTGCTGCAGAAGATAGTGGAGACCCGCGCACCGCCTCTCTCCACAACAGAGACGACTTCAAATGCTACTACGGAATTCAATCCCTTCGAGCTGGAGCCATCCGTCGACAAGTCTCCATCGCTATCGGATCAAGACTTGGCGGAGCTGATCCAAGCCAAAATCCCCAACCTGCCAGTTCGGTACTGGCAGAAGTATAAAGGAAAAGTTCTCTCCAAAAACAAAACGTGTGCAAAGTTCCCTTCCCTCTATGATATAAGCTTCAATAACGTGTATTGGCAGACACTGAAAACTAGCAATGGGACTTTTCATCTGTTTGGTTCCTATTATGATAACAGAACTTTGGTGGCCATGAAACCGGTGATACGCACTTTAGGTATGATTGATCGTTTGGACCCCAAGGTCAAGACCTACTGCCAGCTGTGGTTTGACGGACATAAGGAACCAGTATTTTCCAAAGTTTGGGAATATAAATATATTTGGTATAAGAAGTGGGGTAATTATAAGAACGGGTTGATGCAGCCGTACATGATAGGATGCCAAGTACCACCCGGCTACCGTCACCTGGTGCCAGAGTCGGTCTCCATCGTAGAGCGGCCGTGCGACATGGCCACTACCAATCTCAGGGTTATAAACAACCGACCCAAAGGGGGACAAAAAGAAAACTTTGCCGTTTGTGTGAAAGGGTTAGATTTTCTACATGATGATTTGAGCGTGAGATTGGTGGAGTGGTTAGAGATGCTCTTCATTCTAGGTGCAAACAAAGTATTTCTGTATGAACTTGAAGTGCACCCTAATATATCTAAGATATTAAGGCATTATGAAGAACAAGGGCGCGTAGAAGTAACCAAACTGACGTTGCCGGGCGAACAGCCAAACATTCCCGGACTCCTTCACATGTACTTAAAGTCTAAGGTCACTAACAAGCGCCAGAACGAACTCATCCCCTATAATGACTGTCTTTACAAAAATATGTACCGTTACAAATATATTGCGTTACTTGACACAGATGAAGTCATCATGCCTAAAAGTTCTATGTCCTGGAAGAGCCTGATGGAAACTGTTGTACCCAAGGCGCTCAAGACCAAGAAAGATCCCAGAGCTTCATATAATGTGCGTAACGTCTACTTCATGGACACTATGCGACATTCTCACGGATGGTTCCGAGAGATCCCTCATTACATGCACATGTTGCAGCACGTTTATCGTTCTCATAACTACACGAAACCTGGGCAATATGTTAAGTGCTTCCACGACCCCGAGCGAGTACTAACCCTCCATAACCACTTTCCGCTATCTTGTCTTGGTGGAAGTTGCTCATCGTACGCGATAGACACCGAAGACGCACACTTACAGCACTACCGTGCAGACTGTGTAACCACTCTGAAGAAATCGTGTTCTCAAGAATACAAGAACCGCACCATCTTGGATACCACAATTTGGAGGTACCGCGAGCCACTGGTGGCACGTGTCACTGAAACACTCATGCATCTTGGGTTTTTCAATCCTGGTACATCATTGAGATCGACTGACCCTCCTGCCTCTGCAGTCAGGAGAAAGTGATCATAATATCTTTAGTGTCATCTATGTGCCTTATCTGGTGTACTCTCACCTGTGGTCTAGTCCCGTCCACTAGCCACTCCATACGTGCCCTCATAATGCAGATAATTCTGCTTTATTCGAACAAGAATGGAATAACCCCTTTGTGCTGCAAGGGACATGTGGGAGACTTGTCAAGTGGCCGGTGGTGGGCGATGCTCAATAGGGGTGTCAACGTCCCAACATAGTTTAGAGGTAATCCCTATTCCTTGGACTGTTTCTCACCCGAGATAAACAATTTGTTTTTACAAGTATTGGTTGCAATGTGCAATGCACATTAATGGTGCAGTTCTGATCTGTCCAATGTATGTCAACAACGTCATACATGCTACTGGATACATGTTTTCATCAATCGGTACAAGAATAATCTCGTGTTTTACAAACTTCCATTTGCAATGGTGGGTGGCTTGATGAGATTAACCACACAGGAAGGGATTGCCTCTTATTTAGTGGAATGAAGGTCCAACTGTGATTTCTATAAGATACCATATCATGCCATGTAAATATCATTTCATTTATCTGTCAGATTATCACTTACTGTTGCTTCTACCCAATAGGCAAAACAAGAGGAGACTGCCGTTAATACGTGTGATTTATGATACCTTGCTGCAGTATTGCAACACTTGATGCTGTTCTTTGCTAGTGAAGTGCAGTGTGCCTCACAGATATTAAACAATACTGGGCATTGTATGTTCACGTTTTAAAAAGTTAATTAATTGTAAGCATTTTTAAATGATTGATTAGGAAAGTGAGAGAGAGACAGGTGTGTTTTAAAAAGTTCACTATTTTTAAGCATTTCAAATGATTGATTAGAAAAGTGGGAGAGAGACGGGTGTGTTGTGTATTCACACTGGAGTTTTGTGGTAATTGTGCAGGTTTAATTGTAAATAGAAGTCATGCTTAACAAATGGAGCAGACTCGGACAAAATATTTAATAATTACTGTTTAAGTTTATATATTGATGGCATTTAAGACCATTACATTGCTGGAAGAAATACAAGACATACTTTGAGAAATTGAAATACTGTACTTAATAAATGGCGAGATGGAACATGGATTCAGACTGTCTAAATGGAGATATAAGAATAGATCCCAAACAATTAAAAAAGTTACAAGAATGTAGCAAGCAGTATGAGGAAAGTTAAGTGACAAGACAGTTCAGGAAAGACATGTATGTGGGCACAGGTCCCTTATTGTGGAAAGTGTTTCACTCGCTAAAGCTTTCTAATATATGACACGTTATCCACAATTAAGCTGTTGCATGGTGTTTGTTCTCACAATCAACAGTTTGGCTTACAACCACAGGGATGAGAATGCAACTCTACAAACGTTGCAAATAAAAATAATCGAATTTAATACATTTTGTTTGCAAACAGCAAATAACTATATTGACTTTGTCATATGTGGTGAGAGTTCATACATCAAGCTGTCAGTACTCCACAGCACACAGGGAGGAGGCACATGATATTGGTGTGAACAGTATAGATTTGACAAAGCCCCTTTGGTAATGTGTGCAAATCTCTACCCAATACGGTCTCACTTTTCGGTGTCGCCGTATTTACATGTCAGAGTGCATTATGTGCCTCGTCTCGCATTTAAAGTGAAGATCGATTTAAGTTGTCAGAACAGCATAAAAATGATTTTCAGGAGAGTTGGGGTTAAATGCATACAATCGAAAAGACAATGCGAAGCATACAAATTTGACAAAATATTGGAACAGGGTTGGTTGTTATTTAAGGAGTGTAAGAGTGAGAATTAATATGACTAAAGCATAAGGAATGTACGCAAGATAAGGTGTTAACAGGCAAAGTCAGTAGAGTACTAATAAGTAATAATAAGGCGAGTGTTAATAAGCCACAATAATGGATGAAATATGATAGGAAGTTTGAGTACGAACTTGATAGAAACTTCGTACTATCAAGTACTTGTTTGAACTTGGTCTTATTTCGCTTATAATGTGACGTAGTCTTGCCTTTTTCATAATTACCGTTGCTATTACTAACGGCGCATGTTAACACCTCGTTACATCCATTCTTTTCTTAGGCTTTTGTTACATAAATTTTTCGGTGAAGTTGCTAAAGAATAAATAGAGGAAACGGCATATACTATCCTGCTAGATAAGATTGCCTCAGGCTTGTCCACCATTTTATTATTATTATTATTATTATTATTATTATTATTATTATATATTATATTACAAAAAGTTTTCGCAAAGAAAAATATCAAAACCCTAATTGGGATTCAAGTGCACCTTTTTTCTCTTTTTATAAGCACTTATGCAGTTGGCGAATTACAAGTCTGATTTTGTTTAAAGTGTGTTTTTATCTGTTAGATATTATGACAGTATTAAATCAATATCGGCAAAAATGACTCTAGGGAAAATATGAACATTGTAAGATGTTTTAAAGCTCAACTTGCTGTAAAGTTAGAGATTGTTCCACTTTATAAAGATAGTGAATTACAGTCTCCAGATCACCATCTCGCACTCTACAGTATTTTCTGGACTTTTTGGCTTTGGTATTTCTCCACTCATGCATTATGTTCATATTTAACGTTGATATACTTACAGGTGTTAGGATATATGCATATGTGCACAACTTTTGTAACTACAATTTTATATGCCAGTGCTGCTGCATATATTTCAACTTGGTGAAACATCATTTGCTCTGTATATCAAGGATGAGTCTTATGTTGTCTTCATATGTTTCATTCCTTTGTATATGTTTCCCTTTCATTTCGAACGCTATTTATAATTTTGTTGGTTATTGTTATATTCGTCCATTCATTCCTACTAAATGCCAGCTCTTGTACATTAGGAAAAGTTTGCAGCTTTGCATCCCATGTAATCCTTTGTTATGAAGTAGCATAGTGCACACACACACTTCACAAGTGTTACTGTTGGAATTTATACATTATACAAGATCAAACTTGAGGTTTGTGTCTGCTTTCATTGCCACTTCACTAAACTGTCCAAGACACCTTATGGGCAGAGAAAGTCGAACAGTATTTTGTATTCCTCATGCGAATACTTTGAAATACTGTCCTTTCAATAAAGTTTTCAAACTTCCGCTATATCATGTTTTTATTTAAAGGTATAGCTTTCAAGTAAACTTGCTAAGCCGAAATTCTTTAAGCAAAGGTATTTTTTTTAAGGTTAGCAAAATGACCAAGTAAACTCAAGTATGTATGACCTTCGTTGTATGTAAACAGAGGTGCCTGGGTGTTAAACTTGCAACTGTTCCTCTCTACAGTTTCAACAGTTCTAAAATAAGTCATTGTCAAACGTTTAAGTAAAGTTTGCTCTTGATTCGTGTGTATGACTGGCAGAGAGTCGAGAAATATTTCTGGAGATCTCATCAATACCTGAATCATGTGTACTGTATATACATAACTGTCATGATCATAATGAGTGCCATTATCATTGCCTATCTTATACATTAGAGCCAAAGTAAAAAGTTTTGTATTGAACATTGAATAAAACTGTCATGGTATTATTTAGTCAAGCATTTTTTTTTCTATCCTAAAAGCAAAGATGTTACTTCGTATTGTGTCATCTGTTGCGGCAGCGGTGTGAACCTGTTCGTGCCCAAGTTGGAAACAGCAGGGCTGAATGTACAGGAACTGAACAGGTAGGTCATGGTGCATAATTTATGAACAATATACCGTACAATTCAGGATGTATGCTTACCACTGAGGATTGTATAAGGCTTCAAATAAATATTCTGCTTTGCTAACTTGGAAAATTAGATAAGAATAAATATATATTCATTCTAATCCTAGCTGTATATGATCTCGCTTTACTAGTAATGATTTACACGTTTTGTAAGCATAGTGGATGTAAGATCGGGTCTTAACAGGCCGAGGGCTACATTAATAGCGCCACCAATTGTAGAATGCATGTAGAATTTGCCCTCCTGGGCTAAGGTATGCTGAAATCTGTAACTACTATATGAATACTGGAACACTTGATGAGATATTGAACTTGTACCCAATATTGACCATGTAATGTATCAATTATACAATGTATGTGATGTAAATATATAACCTGAGCTTGTAAAAGCATCTTAATCACCTTGTGTGGTTAAGTGCTTAATTACACACTAATTTCTCTATCGGCTATCTCACCCTGTCAGAGTAAAAGAGACAAATGTATGTGTATGTATGTATGTGTATAAAGAGTATGTGGAAGCTGATCAGATTTACATTTCACCTTTGTAAATGCACATTAATGACACTATGTAAAAGACACATCGAACACTTCATGTAGGGCATACGTAAATCTGTGTATCTATGTATTTACGCATGTAGGTTAGCTTAGCATTTTAAAAGCACTATCACCTTCTGTGAATGTTCAGAAAATCCCTGAACTATATGTTTAACAAATCTCTTCTGTCCTCCATGGACAGGGTTAATGTATATATGCTGCTTAGCATTGTAAATGTGTGACCACGTCTGTAGTATAAAATAATAATAAAAAACAATAGGTCAAGGGCTGCAATAACAGCACCATCAATAGACCGAGAATTGCAATAACAGCACCAATAGACACGTGCTGCATTACCAGCACCAACAGGCCTAAAAAAGCACAACCAATAGGCCGAGGGCTGCAGTAAAAGCAGCACCCAATAGGCAGAGGGCTGCAATAACAGCACCCAATAGGCAGAGGGCTGCAATAACAGCACCCAATAGGCAGAGGGCTGCAATAACAGCACCCAATAGGCAGAGGGCTGCAATAACAGCACCCAATAGGCAGAGGGCTGCAATAACAGCACCCAATAGGCAGAGGGCTGCATTATCAGCACCACCAATAGGCAGAGGGACTACTCCAGGTAGTGACAACTGGAGCGCCTGAGGTTCGCCCCTGTGAAGGAAGTGTGAGGGGGGGTTGGGGGTTGGGAAGAGAGGATCAGTTATATTAACCAGGTATTAGGCCTGGTCTGGGCCCAACGGAGCCGGGATTACAGAGCCCCATCTCCAATTACTGTCTTACTTCGCTATCCCACCGGTAAATATTTGATTGGTGGTTTCGTTTTCCATATACATGATTTAAAAGGTTGGGTCCTGGAGCCAAGGAATGTCACTTACCAGGGGCACCAAGGGAAGCAGAGTGCTAGCCCAGTGCCAGGAAGAGGTGCATCGAATGAATAAGGTGTGAATGATACATCAAATTGTTTATGTAATAATCTAAGATGAGGTCTGATAAAGACCTTTTGTGCCCTCTGTAATGCTTTTTGCGCTACCGCTCACAGGATGAGTATGGGGTGCACAATTCCGCTCACAGGATGAGTATGGGGTGCACAATTCCGCTCACAGGATGAGTATGGGGTGCACAATTCCGCTCACAGGATGAGTATGGGGTGCACAATACCGCTCACAGGATGAGTATGGGGTGCACAATACCGCTCACAGGATGAGTATGGGGAGCACAATACCGCTCACAGGATGAGTATGGGGTGCACAATACCGCTCACAGGATTGTGTCATAAGATTTTTTCCAGGTCATAAAGGACAGCAACAACGGAGGTCTTCGCAGTAAAATCAGTACGAATATAGACCTCCAAGTTCACCAAGTCCAAGTCCTTAAGGATGTCCCGAGACCTCCCCGGTTTCGAATAGATAGTACAGCGGCATCGAGCTAGTCCTCGGGGACTGACGACGACTCCCAGACCTGGTTATACAGCCTGGTTATACAGACTCAGTAACTACCGAGACGTGCAAGGAGGGAGATAGCGAAGCATCTCAATGTTTTCCGAGCCCGCTGCCATAAAACCGTAAAGGGCCAGGGCAGACTGAAGTTGAGAGAGAGAAGGAATCGTTATAGGGAAGGCGGAGACGAGTGCAGAAATCTAAGGGATGAGATTCAAGAACAGGCTTACGAAGGAAGGATTGAGGAAGATGAGAACCAGAACTAACAGAAGAAAAGTGGGAACCCAGTTTGGTTGCGACCTGCACTGGGTCCGCCACAAGAGTACCTCGGAGGTGAAGAACTGGCGAGATATCTGGAACGAACTTGCCCGCAATTTTGCCGATCTTCTTCCAGATTTGTGGTAGAGGAATATCTGACAATGGTGGAAACGTAAGATTTCCAACTTCCACGCTTAGCTGTATGAATGGTCCCTACAGGCCACCGCACTTGCTTTCCGAAACAAAATAAAAGAATAGGCCGTCTGTCGACGTCGGTGTTTCTTCCACGCTGCGACAGCCCGAACACAGTCCGCATTCCACCAGGGAATGCACTTCCGCGTGCCCCGGGAGGTAGAGTGAAGAATAGAGCAGAGGGCAGCATCTAAGATGGTGTCATGAAAAAGGAGGAGGGCGCGAGGAAGAGGCAGAGAGGAGAGGTTAGTGAGAGTAGCACAGAGTGAATAGGTTCCAATCAGCTTTGGCAAACTGCCACCTAGGGAAGGAGAGGGGAGGGTGAAAAGAGAAAAGGAAATAAGGATGGGGAAACGGTCACTTATGGAGGTCATCAAGAACCCTCCACGTGAGATCTAAGCAAAAGGACGACGAGCAGAGAGAAAGATCAAGACAGGAAAGGGTGCAAGTTCGAGAGTCCACATGGGAGGACTCACCAGAATTCAGAAGAATAGAGGAAGAACGGTTCAAAAAGGCAGCCTCAGGTGTTTGTTAGAACATCACCCCAGAGGGTATGTCGACAGTTGAAATCACCCAACAGGAGCACTGGCAAGGAGTCAAGGAGGTGCTTATGATCAGTTAGAGAAAGCGGGACATTTGGGGGGAGGTAAATGGAACAGACTGTATACTATTTACTCACAAAAACACGGGCAGCAGAACAATGGATAGGAGATGGAAACAGTAGGGGGACGAAGGGAATAACAGTACGAATCAAGAGAAGTTATGGGCCCCAGCATGAGCTGGGAGGGGGGGGGGGTAGGAAAAAAAAGAGGAATAACCCCGAAAGAGACCAGGACGAGCAAAAAGCTTTGGTTCCTGGAGACAAACACAAAGTGGTGAAAACTGTGTAATCTGAAGTTTGAGTTCATGGAAGTTGGCATAAAATTCACTAATATTCCATTGAAGAAGACACATTATCAAAAAGAGAAAGGACAACAACAGAGAACAATAAAGAAACAAAGGTAAAGAAGAACAGTATATTCAATAAGCTTAGGATCAGGGTTAGTAAAATCAAGCTTAGGAGGCATGGGTAAACTGAGTAAGGATGGAGTGAAGGGAGCAGGTGGACAGACCAGAGGCGGATGGGTAGGGTCCGGAGGAGACAACAGCAGCATCCGTTCTCGCACTTTGTACAGTCAATATTGACTGTACGAAAGTGCGAGAATGGGTTGAACAGAGAGGGGAGGTCAAGGACAGCAGGGGGGGGGGGCAGAAACCGGGAGCGCACCTCAGCAAGGGCAGCAACGAAAAAGGAAACGGGGGCTAAAGAAACCTCCATAGCTTGGACAGGGGGCCCGACCACCGAAATGGAAGGGGGACGCAGCGAGTGTGTCAGAGGGGCGGGTGAGGAAGAAAGCGAAGCCTTCGTACCTGCCGGGAGGAGGAAGGAGAGGAGCCAGGCTTACGTTTCTGACTCAAAAGAGACAGGTGTTCAAGCAACAACGTACTGGGCGACAGACTCAATTGTCTCAACAAGAGATGATGAACGGGAGTGAACATGAAGATTGCTGTTAGGATGATGGACATCAGCCTGGACAAACAGGCGGCGTGGAGGGCCAAGAGACAGGGAAAGATGGGAAGAAGGATTGGGGAAAGAAAACACAGGAGACATGGCAGACTGGGTAGGAAGGGGGGAACTTCAGATGGAGAACCAGGAGGGGGTCCCTTCGGGACAGAACGTAAAGGAACAGGGGAGGTGGTGGTGGGCGTGTTCGGGTCTAAGATCTGGAAACTGTTGAGAGACCGAGTATGGTGGGAATGATGAGGTGAGGTAGAACGCAACACGAGCGTAGGATATGATAGCAAAAGGGCGAGATGGTGAACTTGGCATCTTGCTTCAGGAAAAGGCTGACGCTCCCGGTGTTTCAAGTTGAGGACGGCTTCCTCAAGTTTGTAGTGTATACACGAGCAGAGGAGGTAGGGTGGGCCTCACTGCAATTGAGACAGCGAACCTGGGGAGAAGTGAACTCGGACTTTTAGAGTGATCATCGGCCCCACAGATGGGACAGATACACAGTACTTGAGCATTTGAGGACACCATGCCCAACTTCCAGCATTTATTGCAAAATCTAGGAGAGGGAATGTACTCCTGAACGAAGCATCTGGCACCAGCAAGAATTATAGAGGGCGGAAGGGTCCTACTATCAAATGTGATTTTCACAACTCTAAGGGCTGACGGCGACGACCACAAGGGGGTCGAGTGAACGTGTCTACCTGGAGGACAGGATGGCCTTGGGCTTTGGGGATATGTTTAATATCTTCATGGCAGCCTTTTAGGCCCCTAACACCAGTTGCAACATGGTGCGGGAGGAGAACAGTGCCAACAATGACATTTAATCAAGCGTTTTTGGAGATCCGAACAGGGGTCTCCCCAATGCAAGACAATACGGCTAAGCAGGTAGCTGCATCCGGTGAAGGAGCAGCGACGACATGTGTAGCAAACGGGTGGAATTAAAAGTAACAGGCATCCAACGAATCGATAAGGTGTTTATGGAGTGAGAAATCGTCAGGTGTAGAATCCAGAGAGAGGAGTTCTAAGTATTTAGCCCATGAAGCAGGACCAAACAAGGCTTGGTACTTATTAGTATGGGAAGGGATCGTTAAAAAGGTGTACTAGGCACAAGGAGACAACCACGCCAGGTTGTCACCGTTGGGGGCGTATGGCTCGACCCAACCACAGAGGAGGGAGGGGAGAGGAGGAGAGTAGTCAGGAGGGTCAAAGGAGAGCTAGGTCTGAACCCAATGTAGCAGGGAGGGGGGGGGGCCTCCGACTCGGTCTTGGTCGTCTACCCCACGAGCCTAAGTCGTCAGAGGAACACGATTCAGCAAAATCAAGGAAACGAACGAGAGTTTTACTTTCATTCACGAATGTGCACCCGTACCCACCATAGAGCCACAATTAGAGGCAGGACACCCAACAAGAGACATGTTGCCGATCATGCCGGGGCCCTCTAGGGATGCGTCGTGAGAATACGCCCCACAAACGCCACCTTAAGAACCATCAGTCCGTCAAAATCGGGTTCAGCAACGAAATGAGGATTGACAATAAAAGGGTCCCCTCACTTGAGACGTTGGGTTCTAGGGGCAAGAGATTATGCCTCCCCAAACACTCGGGCATCAAAACAGAAGAAACCTGGTAGAATAATCAAAACTGGCAAAAGGTCGGCAGGAAATGACAATTAGAAAGGAGAAGAGGGGGGGGGGGGAAGGAGGAAAATGAAATTAGGAAAAGGAAAAGATTTCTGGCACAATTGGTGAAGGCAGCAGCAGAAGTATATGGCATCAAAAGGACAGAGGACTTGACTCGTGAAGCATCACACTCTGGCAGCCGCCCCCCAAGCCTTCTCACGGCGACAACGAGCCAGAAAGGAAGGGGGGGGTATAATAGTACAAAACATTATATACATCTCCCCCAAAACAGCTCTTTATATTGGAAAAACATAAATTCTAGTTTTTTGTAACTTCCAATTCGACATTCATACAAAAGTAATGCATTCAAAATAAAGGTTTGAATAGCAAATTACTATAAAAGAAATAAAACGAATTTGGTCTTAACATTTAAATATGAATATATTTATCATCTTTGAACCATTTGTAAACTACCTGTTTTCTTACCCTAACTCCTACAAAATAACCAGTAAAAATCTGTTATTTAGAAAAATCAATTAAAGTAATGTGGAACTCTTCTGACTGTAACCTGACCCACTATTGGTCATTTTTATGAGGCGCTCTATATGCTAGGATGTGGATAACTTAACTATTTAATTTTAATTTCTAGCGGACTGTACAAAAAAAAGGTTACTCTACACAGTTACCACAGTGGGGCGTTACTTATTAATTATTTGAATTCAGATGGTGCCGTATTTATTATTTTTTAAAGCATTAGTTCTGTTACTCAAGGTTCATTACAGATTAATGAATTTATTTTATTTACTGCACTGAGAATTAGAGTTAGCAATAAACAAAATTCTTACCTAAGAAAGTCCATAGACCAGAGTAAGCTTCAACTAACATCGTCCATGGATGAGAAAGAGCTTCATGGGGAATATACGAGTCAGACAAGAGGCCGCCAATGTTGATGCTTCCTTTCCTGCCGATAATCGAATTATTAGAGTGGGAAAATTCACAATTTATGTAATTAAAGAATCCGTGTTTCATCACTTTTTAACTTCAATTTGAAGTAATTATTTTCACTTGATTATGGTGATGTCCTACAGGTGACCACGATCACTCCAAATACCTTATACACAAGAAATTGCCTTAATGATATTAAATGTGAGACAAACAGTGTAGTTACCTCAAACGAGGCTATTGGACCTTCAGGCAACTAATGCAAGGATTTTGACAACGTCAAAATGTTATGTCACCCACGTGGGCCGTGTTTATATCCATAATGGATATGGAAATATCCAAACCCTCCCCCCCTCCCACTTTCCGAACTCTTAGTCAGTGCGAGGGTTAATAATTTAGAAGTGGTCGCTAAATTCTAATTAAGTTAATATTATTAACTATGTATCTATACAGTATTAGATTTTATCTCCTTTTAGTTTAATAACGAGACATAATAGAACATCGGGGAGCTGACCTGACCCAGCAGAGAATTGCGTCAGCCCTCAAGGTATACTGCCGAGTATTTAATTTTAATTCTATTATTTTAAGCAGAAAAACTTCATAGCAATTTAATATTTAGTATGAAAGTGCTAAATGTGTAAATTATTTCCAATATATATGCATTACTAGAAGCAAAAGATGAAAAGCTTTCCTCTATCAACGTAACTGAAATACGACTAAATGAACCCTTTAACCAACAACAGTACACACCTTAAATGGTTACACAGCTATTCACATCTATTCACAAACTTACCGCAATGCACCAGGCCTCTTAAGACTCATTCATAATCTACTGCAAGAGCCAGAATCTGCTCACATAAGGCCAACCTGAGAAACGGAAAATTCAAACAATAACACACGTGCAACGAAACTAGTGATTGCATTAAGTAAATTTGCAATTCCTAGACAAATGAGGCTTACTATCAATACTACAGGGAAATACCCCGATTGAGAACTTTGCCTTCAATCAGTTGCTTTCTCCAATGTGTTTGCTCCCTCTGATGAAAAAGTAGGACCATACTTACCAAGTCCATTGGATATCTATGCTTTGACTGGCATTTAATTCTTCTGTTTGAATTAATCTGCAGGTCCGCTCGTATCATACCTTCCTCGTCAACATTGACCGCTCATCCTTTCATCTATCAGTCGCCCCACTGTTAAAGATAGAAAACTGTCACTGTGGCTCACATCCTATTTTAATTGCACTGTACATCAATCACTGCAGCACACTACTCACTGCCTTTGGTGGGTACTACATGTGCAGCGTGACTATTGTGTCTTTGGGGATGGCTGTTACCATGCTAAGAGTAGCCTAGGTTCAGATTCCTGGCTCTAGTCTGATGCTGAACTAGCAGAGGCAGTACCTGCGGATGTGAGCTCTAGGCTAAAGGCCTTGACTTTCAAATTCACTCTGGTCTTGTATGAAAGGCCTTTTTTTCCAATATACTTTGAATTACAGGGTTAAACCTGGTTGATGCCCTGTGTGTGCATTGTTTGTTTGGAGTTATATGTGGGAAAATCTCTCATACCTATGTACAGTACTTGTAACCGATTACAGGTAAATTTCCAGATCTTTTCTACTCTTAAACACCAGCCTGAGGGAGGATCGTCTTATACTTTGATCTAAAAGGCTGTTTGAAGTGGTCCACAGACTTGTACAGTGCAACCCGAATTAAATGAACAATATGGGACCAATCTAAATTGATTCAATCCAATCTAAAATCTAAATTGGTATATGGGACCAATCTAAATTGGTATATGGGACCAATCTAAATTGGTATATGGGACCAATCTAAATTGGTATATGGGAACCAATCTCTTGGGAATATGGACCAATTTTTTTTTTTTTTTTTTTTTTTTGAGATATATACAAGAGTTGTTACATTCTTGTACAGCCACTAGTACGCGTAGCGTTTCGGGCAAGTCCTTAATCCTATGGTCCCTGGAATACGATCCCCTGCCGCGAAGAATCGTTTTTTCATCCAAGTACACATTTTACTGTTGCGTTAAACAGAGGCTACAGTTAAGGAATTGCGCCCAGTAAATCCTCCCCGGCCAGGATACGAACCCATGACATAGCGCTCGCGGAACGCCAGGCGAGTGTCTTACCACTACACCACGGAGACTGCTCACTGACTAATTTTGTTCGAATCACAACGTTATAAATGCTTCACCCACGTACTACAAATACAAATAATCGCCACAGAACCTAAACACCTAACCTATGCCTATATATGCACAATATGCTATTATAATAATTTATATTTGATAAAGTTCCTGTTTTGAATGAACACATGTTTAAAATTTATGATGCGTCTGTGGGGGTCAACGCTGGATGTAGTAGACTTGAGTCGAGGACGGGTTGAATAAGGACTTAAATCACTTTACATTTCTGTACTATACCAAGGTAGAAAAATGCCACATACCTCCCTCAAACGCCGAGCCAACACACTGCTTGCCGGGGTGGAGCACGTTTTCGGCCTTTTGTATCAATGGACCACAAGCCTAGTGCTTTATGCTTCTGCCACTGGACCGAGTGGAGTACTGACTACCCAATTGATCCGTGCGCTTGGTTCTAGGTCGGCGACTCGATTGGCTCATTTCCGCCACCAAACGTGCAGTTCTGGGCCAAACTGCTACAACAGGCGGCCGGCCTCGTCTCTTCTGCAACAGTTCAACACGTTACAAGATTAATCACAATTAGTATCGTATTTTGTGTGCGCCGAATACACAAGTACTTTATAATGTGGCTTTCCGAAAAAGCCACATTAACAAGTATATTCATACCGTAATACTCTCTACTGTGTATAGGGTATTTACATCATACCCTAATATTTCACACGCTCTATAGCCGATTTCTTTGGGCAAAATTGTAATTTAAACCAGTCATATGAAGGACACCTACAAAGAGAACCTATCTCCTAACGTATTTAATCACATTGGTATATTTCCCCCCACACTCTGGCCTCAAAAGCTTATTTTCAGAGGAAACAGGTCCTATTTGTGAATGAAAACCTGGAAATCTCAAAATGAAAAATATAATAGGTTTTAAATGTCTGAATGGCTTTCTCAAGGCCCCCTACCTTTCTATTGTTGCGTCCATCTACGAAAATCATTAAAAAATGCGACTGGAGCCACAATGAGTCACCATACCTCCCATACCTTAGCCTCAAAATCGATTTTCAAAGGAAAAAAAGGTCCAAATTTTACTGAACCAAAACCCTGCAACTTGGGAGAAAAAAAAATTACATATATGAATAGGTATAATATTCCTACATAAATAAGTACTTTCTACCTATTCATATAGGTACTTTTTAATTTACTAATAATCTAATTGTGGAAGATCAATAATCTTCAACATTTGTTGGATTGGTTTTGCAAATTTGCACCTATGCCTATTCTACCTATTCAAATAAGGCCTACCAATTCAAATAGGTAATTCTTCTATTATGAAAATTCTTTAACGTTGGGCTGTTATTGCAAATTTGTCCATATACCTAATCTACCTATTTAAATAGGTCCTGCCTATTCATATAGGAAATTTTTATTTCGAAAATTCCACATTTGTTGGGCTGTTATTGCAAAATTGCACATACACCTATTCAAATAGGTCATTTCTACCTATTCAAATAGGCACTTTTTCTGTTTTGAAAATTCTTACACATTTGTTGGACTGTTTTCTGTTTTGAAAATTCTTCCACATTTGTTGGACTGTTGTAAATTTGCCCCTATACCAAATCTACCTATTCAAATAGGTCCTACCTATTCAAATAGGCACTTTTTCTGTTTTGAAAATTCTTACACATTTGTTGGACTGTTGCAAATTTGCTCATACACCAAATCTGTTTTGAAAATTCTTTCAAATAGGTCCACATTCAAATAGGTCCTACCTGTTGGACTGTTGCAAATTTGCCCATATACCAAATCTACCTATTCAAATAGGTCCTACCTATTCAAATAGGTCTTACACATTTGTTGGACTGTTGCTATTATTCAAATAGGTCCTACCTATTCAAATAGGTCCGACTTTTACTTTTTCTGTTTTGAAAATTCTTACACATTTGTTGGACTGTTGCAAATTTGCCCATATACCAAATCTACCTATTCAAATAGGTCCTACCTATTCAAATAGGTCCGACCTATTCAAATAGGTACTTTTTCTGTTTTGAAAATTCTTCCACATTTGTTGGACTGTTGCAAATTTGCCCATATACCAAATCTACCTATTCAAATAGGTCCTACCTATTCAAATAGGTCCGACCTATTCAAATAGGTCTTTTTCTATTCAAAAATTCTTCCACATTTGTTGGACTGTTGCAAATTTGCCCATTCCAAATACCTATTCAAATAGGTCCTACCTATTCAAATAGGTCCGACCTATTCAAATAGGTACTTTTTCTGTTTTGAAAATTCTTCCACATTTGTTGGACTGTTGCAAATTTGCCCATATACCAAATCTACCTATTCAAATAGGTCCTACCTATTCAAATAGGTCCGACCTATTCAAATAGGTACTTTTTCTGTTTTGAAAATTCTTCCACATTTGTTGGACTGTTGCAAATTTGCCCATATACCAAATCTACCTATTCAAATAGGTCCTACCTATTCAAATAGGTCCGGTCCGACCTATTCAAATAGGTACTTTTTCTGTTTTGAAAATTCTTCCACATTTGTTGGACTGTTGCAAATTTGCCCATATACCAAATCTACCTATTCAAATAGGTCCTACCTATTCAAATAGGTCCTATTCAAATAGGTCCAAATCTACCTATTCAAATAGGTCCTACCTATTCAAATAGGTCCGACCTATTCAAATAGGTACTTTTTCTGTTTTGAAAATTCTTCCACATTTGTTGGACTTGCAAATTTGCTTATACACCAAATCTACCTATTCAAATAGGTCCTACCTATTCAAATAGGTCCGACCTATTCAAATAGGCACTTTTTCTGTTTTGAAAATTCTTCCACATTTGTTGGACTGTTGCAAATTTGCTCATACACCAAATCTACCTATTCAAATAGGTCCTACCTATTCAAATAGGTACTTTTTCTGTTTTGAAAATTCTTACACATTTGTTGGACTGTTGCAAATTTGCTATATACAAATCTACCTAAAATAGGTCCTACCTATTCAAATAGGTCCGACCTATTCAAATAGGTACTTTTTCTGTTTTGAAAATTCTTCCACATTTGTTGGACTGTTGCAAATTTGCCCATATACCAAATAGGTCCGACCTATTCAAATAGGTCCGACCTATTAGGTTCAAATGGTTTTGTTTTGAAAATTCTTCCACATTTGTTGGACTGTTGCAAATTTGCCCATATACCAAATCTACCTATTCAAATAGGTCCTACCTATTCAAATAGGTCCTACCTATTCAAATAGGTCCGACCTATTCAAATAGGTACTTTTTCTGTTTTGAAAATTCTTCCACATTTGTTGGACTGTTGCAAATTTGCCCATATACCAAATCTACCTATTCAAATAGGTCCTACCTATTCAAATAGGTCCGACCTATTCAAATAGGTACTTTTTCTGTTTTGAAAATTCTTCCACATTTGTTGGACTGTTGCAAATTTGCCCATATACCAAATCTACCTATTCAAATAGGTCCGACCTATTCAAATACTTTTTTTGTTTTGAAAATTCTTCCCTATTCTGTTGCAAATTTGCTCATAGGTACTATTTTACTTTTTCTGTTTTGAAAATTCTGCCACATTTGTTGGGCTGTTATTGCAAATTTGCACATTTTCATATTTAAATAGGTCATTTCTGCCTATTCAAATAGATACTTTGTTACTCGTCCCTACAAAAACTTCTACATTTGTGGGATTTCAATACAAATTTGTTCGTGTACCTCTTTATTATCACAATGGGAAGATTCATGGGGCAACAAGGAGGGGGTCAAGGTAACAGGGGGGAAAAGGACGGACACAGACCTGAAACTTAGCTCCCAGTTACAAGCTAGGCGTTACAACACTTGGCATTGCAAGCCAAGTGTTGCCACCAATAGTAGGTAACTTTTCTATTGTACCTACTATTAATGTAGGTAGGTATATGTTGCCTACTTGTATGTAGGTCAATGTACTACCTGAAGGTAAGGTAATTATCAAAAGAAGGCACCAAACCGGGAAGGCTATGTAGCACCATCAAATGTGCGGGAGAATCAGAGGGCGCTAAATATCACCAAGAATGCTAATACGAGCGCTTTCCAATACGCAGCACCAAGGAGCCCTCTCAAATATTAGAGGGGCCCCAGAATTGAATTATAATTACTGGTAACAACCACTGTTTACACTGTGCCTACCATACTTAATACATTACAGATTTTAGTAATTTAACACTTCAGACATTTAAATATTGATCTTTGCAGGGTAAATAAAGTATTATCAAAAGTCACCATGGCAAGAAAGTTAATATAGGGCAAAATAAATACTTTTTACATGTACGTAAAGTGAAAACGCTAACTCTGATTTTAGACAATACATCTAATACTTTAATTACATGTACCAGGTATTTCCTTTATTAGTAGCAAGATGTTGGTCCTCATACAAGATTTATTTACAAGTACCATTCAACTAATTAAGCTTCGCTATCTAAATTTTTCACACTGAACAATTTCTGCCAAGAAAAATTGGACCATCTTCATCGCCGATTGACTTCTTACGTCACTTTATGAATGATGACGAATCGACAAATCACCAGCTATTTCCTCAATGCCGCAACCTGCAACAAAAAAAAAAAATTACTTTAAAACTCTTGGAACTATCCCCTACCATGCCTATTAGTAGCGAGGTCGGGGAAACAGTAGTTCATTATATGAAGAATATCTACAGGATATGAAGAATAAATGTGTTTGAGATGTTCTGATGGTTTTATCGAAATGGCTAATGTTGAGGAAAAAATAGTTCATGAAGGTACTACCTATGTATTAAACGTAAAGTGCCTATTAAACATAATAGGTACGTTTAAACAGTGACTAGTTTATACACTGGAATATTGGGCAAAATTTCTGGAGCCCATAGGTTGTATGTGACTATCATTCCACAAATTCAAAAGTTTGTAAGAATATTTACTTTTATTGGTATATAACCACTTAAATCTCCAACATTTGTCTACATGGTAATTATACTATTTAAAACCTACGAGGTCTCGTGTGTACTGGTCAGGAACAGTTCTCGTCAGGTAAACAGTCAGGATGGGCCAGCATTGTTGCCGCCGGAGGATGCTAGTTGATTGTGCACCCCATGCTCATCCTGTGAGCGGTAGCGCAAAAAGGATTACAGAGGGCACAACAGGTCTTCAACAAACCTCAATGGACATTACATTAACAATTTCATCTATCCTTCACACCTTATAATTACAATGTCAGTTAAATACAGAAAATGTTCTATTTCCAAAGTTATATATTTACTATAAGTCATTATACATTAATTCACTTGATAAATTTCCTCAAATCTTCGGGGGAAATGATTACCAAGACAAACTACCTTAACTATATTTTTTAACAAAAATTATATATATATTTAGTTTTATGTATAGTGTGTGCAGATGTCAATCCACTGCCGTCACCAGTCAGTATCATATCGCACCAATAGAGACCGAATCACTATATTTCTGAACCATCCAGCGCTGTTGCCCACGTAATGAATTTTAAGTCGTCTTCCCATGCAAGGTCGACAAATTCCACGCGTCTCCCTCAGGCGACTCTTCCAAACGCCGAACTAATACACTGCTTGCTGTGGTGATCGTATTTATGTTTATGTCCCTGGACTGAGCGAAGCACTTGTCTGTGCACAGCGAGCCGAGCACCGTTTCTGTCGCTGGACTGAGCACACTGTCCACATTTATTCGTGCTCTTGTCTCGGTCGGCGACTGATTGGCTCTCACTTCCCGCCACCAAACGTGCAGTTCTGGGCCAAACAACTGTCGTCGGCCTCGTTTCCTTCTGCAATGGTTTAACACAAAAGATTAATCACAATTTTGAACTTAACTGTGCCCATTAACACATCCTGCTTGCCATAACACTAGTCAGTACCTTCAGTAGTACATATATTCATTTTAAAGTTTTACTATTTCATGTAGTTTATCTTTAAGTTCCAATGATCACACTATCAAATTTGGAGCCATTGGGATGTTTAGTACACTCCTAATTACAAACTGGTGATAGTGAACAAATCATCTTTGAACCTAGAAAGAAACTGAAGTAAAAAAAATTTTTTACTCCAATATAATTTACATGCAAACATATCAATACAGTATTTTATTTATTTTAGCAATTATAATTAATATAATCTAACATCATACCAGAGCTAAAAGTAACATAGTACGTCATCAGACTAGACCTGTCAATATATATACCAAAGAAATTTTAACAACCTCTCTTGCAACTTTATATTCAATTAGAATATATTTAAATAAATAATTTTAAAAGAACTCAAATAATAAACCACATCCAGTAAGTCATATATACTTAATACAGCCTGCTAAAACAAATATATGCCAATTATTCTGGAATATAATAGTACAAGTAAGTATCAAAAGAAGGCACCAAACCGAGAAGGCTATGTAGCACCACCAAACGTGCGGAGTAATAAGAGGGTGCTAAATATCACCAAGGATGCCAATACGAGAACAGAAACGCACAAGGCCAATGATATCAAAAGTAACCGATTCACCAAAAATTCTATGGATGGACAATTTACCGCGAGGGACGGTTGGAAAGCAAGATACACACGCTCGTCCTGGAAGTCAGGACATTCAACAAGAATGTGCAACGACCGTAAGAGGAACAATGCAATATGGACAATAAAGAGCAGGGCGGTGCTCCATTAAGTGACCGTGAGTTAAACTTGTATGGCCAATACGTAACCTAGCCAGAGCCGTTTCCCACTGCCGGTTACGGTAGTAGGAGGAAGGCCACAGAGACATGACTAAGAGTACGCAGTTTGTTACCAGTAACAGAAGACCAACAACCCTGCCAACAGGCAAGGATGGTGGAATGAATGACTGGGTAAAAGCTGGAATAAGGAATACCTTTACGGGAGATGGGACAAGTGCGGATAGCTTCCATAGTGGCAGCATGCACGCTCATTTAATGAAACAACAACATGGCTGGGAACCCAGCAAAACTCTACCGACTTAAATTTACTGGGAATAAACAGCCAATGTTGAATCTATGACCACTGCATGGACCGGATTAAAGTGACCCTAAAGCCATGAGGGCACTACGAGAGTCAACTACCACCCCAAAGGAGGATTGACAAGGAGAAAGCAGGAGACGAAGAGCATAGAGAATAGCATAAAGTTCTGCTGTGAAGATGCTAGCCTCCGGAGGAAGGCGACACACATAAGAGTGGTCAGGAAAAACAGTAGCAGCCTACACCGTCAAGAGACTTAGAGCCATCGGTGAAGATGGAAACGGAGTGAGTGTGAAGAAAAGTGCTTAAGGAAAAGGCGTTTCAGAACTGTAGGAGGGGTAAAAGCTTTAGTGATGAGGGTCAGGGAAGTACAAAATTTGGAAAGGGGGACCCTCCACAGGGGCATGGACGGGACAATATGAGGAGAAACATTGGTAATACGAATCAAAAGAGAATCTTGTAAGCGAGACAAACGGACAGAAAGAGGAAGGTGGTGAAGAGGAACAGGAACTACAGGATGGGTAAAAATCAAAGCACGACAGAGGCGAGAGTGAGTATACTGAAAGGACCATGCAAGATAACGAAGACAGTAGCGATCACAGCGGTCCTGGAGAGATAAGAAGCCAGTGTCAGCGTACAAGCTGAAGGTAGGAGTTGAACGAAAGGCACCAAAGCTGAGGCGCATCCCAGTATGGTGCAAAGGATCAAGACGGTGAAGAGTAGAAGGAGAAGCAGAAGAGTATGCAGGGGCACCATATTCGAGTTCAGACAGGACGAGAGAGGAGTGCAAATAGAGGAGCGTGCGCCTATCTGCTCCCCAAGAAGTATGGGACAAAACCTTAAGTAGGTTAAGAGCCCTAGAGCATTCAACTCTGAGGTAAGAGATATGGGGCGACCAAGACAAACGAGTGTCAAAAATTAACCCCTAAAGCTTCGCAGAATCTTTGTACACAAGGGGATGACCATGAAGTGACAAAGAAGGACGAAGGACGACATGCTTTCGATTAAGTCATAGCACAAGTCTTAATTGCAGAGAACTTTAAGCCATGATTGGTGGCCCAAGACGACACGACATCAATCGCAAGTTGAAGTTGCCGTTGAAGAGAGGAGAATCATCACCACGACAGCAAAGAGTAAGATAGTCGACATAAAGAGCGGAGAAAATGCCAGAAGGAAGGGAGGAAAGAAGACTATTGAGGGCAACCAGAAAAAGAGTAGTGATCAGAACACTACCTTTGGGTACACTCTCGTATTGCCGAAAAGAGGCAGAGAGAGTGGTACCAAGCCTCATTAAAGGAATGACGAGAGAGGAAGCTTTGGAAAAAGAGGAAGATTACTACGAAGGCCAAAAGAACGAAAGAACGAAGTTGGGACAGAATATGGTATCTCCAGGTTGTGTCATAAGATTTTTTCCAGGTCATAAAGGACAGCAACAACGGAGGTCTTCGCAGTAAAATCAGTACGAATATAGACCTCCAAGTTCACCAAGTCCAAGTCCTTAAGGATGTCCCGAGACCTCCCCGGTTTCCGAATAGATAGTACAGCGGCATCGAGCTAGTCCTCGGGGACTGACGACGACTCCCAGACCTGGTTATACAGCCTGGTTATACAGACTCAGTAACTACCGAGACGTGCAAGGAGGGAGATAGCGAAGCATCTCAATGTCTTCCGAGCCCGCTGCCATAAAACCGTAAAGGGCCAGGGCAGACTGAAGTTGAGAGAGAGAAGGAATCGTTATAGGGAAGGCGGAGACGAGTGCGGAAATCTAAGGGATGAGATTCAAGAACAGGCTTACGAAGGAAGGATTGAGGAAGATGAGAACCAGAACTAACAGAAGAAAAGTGGGAACCCAGTTTGGTTGCGACCTGCACTGGGTCCGCCACAAGAGTACCTCGGAGGTGAAGAACTGGCGAGATATCTGGAACGAACTTACCCGCAATTTTGCCGATCTTCTTCCAGATTTGTGGTAGAGGAATATCTGACAATGGTGGAAACGTAAGATTTCCAACTTCCACGCTTAGCTGTATGAATGGTCCCTACAGGCCACCACACTTGCTTTCCGAAACAAAATAAAAGAATCGGCCGTCTGTCGACGTCGGTGTTTCTTCCACGCTGCACGCTTACAGCGGACAGCCCGAACACAGTCCGCATTCCACCAGGGAATGCACTTCCGCGTGCCCCGGGAGGTAGAGCGAAGAATAGAGCAGAGGGCAGCATCTAAGATGGTGTCATGAAAAAGGAGGAGGGCGCGAGGAAGAGGCAGAGATGAGAGGTTAGTGAGAGTAGCACAGAGTGAATAGGTTCCAATCAGCTTTGGCAAACTGCCACCTAGGGAAGGAGAGGGGAGGGTGAAAAGAGAAGGAAATAAGGATGGGGAAATGGTCACTTATGGAGGTCATCAAGAACCCTCCAGTGAGATCTAAGCAAAAGGACGACAAGCAGAGAGAAAGATCAAGACAGGAAAGGGTGCAAGTTCGAGAGTCCACATGGGAGGACTCACCAGAATTCAGAAGAGATGGGGAAGAATAGAGGAAGAACGGTTCAAAAAGGCGGCCTCAGGTGTTTGTTAGAACATCACCCCAGAGGGTATGTCGACAGTTGAAATCACCCAACAGGAGCACTGGCAAGGAGTCAAGGAGGTGCTTATGATCAGGAAGAGAAAGCGGGACATTTGGGGGGAGGTAAATGGAACAGACTGTATACTATTTACTCACAAAAACACGGGCAGCAGAACAATGGATAGGAGATGGAAACAGTAGGGGGACGAAGGGAATAACAGTACGAATCAAGAGAAGTTATGGGCCCCAGCATGAGCTGGGAGGGGGGGGGGGGTAGGAAAAAAAAAGAGGAATAACCCCGAAAGAGACCAGGACGAGCAAAAAGCTTTGGTTCCTGGAGACAAACACAAAGTGGTGAAAACTGTGTAATCTGAAGTTTGAGTTCATGGAAGTTGGCATAAAATTCACTAATATTCCATTGAAGAAGACACATTATCAAAAAGAGAAAGGACAACAACAGAGAACAATAAAGAAACAAAGGTAAAGAAGAACAGTATATTCAATAAGCTTAGGATCAGGGTTAGTAAAATCAAGCTTAGGAGGCATGGGTAAACTGAGTAAGGATGGAGTGAAGGGAGCAGGTGGACAGACCAGAGGCGGATGGGTAGGGTCCGGAGGAGACAACAGAGCAATCCGTTCTCGCACTTTTGTACAGTCAATATTGACTTATTTAACAAGTCAATATTGACTGTACGAAAGTGCGAGAATGGGTTGAACAGAGAGGGGAGGTCAAGGACAGCAGGAGGGGGGGAGCAGAAACCGGGAGCGCACCTCAGCAAGGGCAGCAACGAAAAAGGAAACGGGGGCTAAAGAAACCTCCATAGCTTGGACAGGGGGCCCGACCACCGAAATGGAAGGGGGACGCAGCGAGTGTGTCAGAGGTGGCGGGTGAGGAAGAAAGCGAAGCCTTCGTACCTGCCGGGGAGGAGGAAGGAGAGGAGCCAGGCTTACGTTTCTGACTCAAAAGAGACAGGTGTTCAAGCAACAACGTACTGGGCGACAGACTCAATTGTCTCAACAAGAGATGATGAACGGGAGTGAACATCATGAAGATTGCTGTTAGGATGATGGACATCAGCCTGGACAAACAGGCGGCGTGGAGGGCCAAGAGACAGGGAAAGATGGGAAGAAGGATTGGGGAAAGAAAACACAGGAGACATGGCAGACTGGGTAGGAAGGGGGGAACTTCAGATGGAGAACCAGGAGGGGGTCCCTTCGGGACAGAACGTAAAGGAACAGGGGAGGTGGTGGTGGGCGTGTTCGGGTCTAAGATCTGGAAACTGTTGAGAGACCGAGTATGGTGGGAATGATGAGGTGAGGTAGAACGCAACACGAGCGTAGGATATGATAGCAAAAGGGGCGAGATGGTGAACTTGGCATCTTGCTTCAGGAAAAGGCTGACGCTCCCGGTGTTTCAAGTTGAGGACGGCTTCCTCAAGTTTGTAGTGTATACACGAGCAGAGAAGGTAGGGTGGGCCTCACTGCAATTGAGACAGCGAACCTGGGGAGAAGTGAACTCGGACTTTTAGAGTGATCATCGGCCCCACAGATGGGACAGATACACAGTACTTGAGCATTTGAGGACACCATGCCCAAACTTCCAGCATTTATTGCAAAATCTAGGAGAGGGAATGTACTCCTGAACGAAGCATCTGGCACCAGCAAGAATTATAGAGGGCGGAAGGGTCCTACTATCAAATGTGATTTTCACAACTCTAAGGGGCTGACGGCGACGACCACAAGGGGGTCGAGTGAACGTGTCTACCTGGAGGACAGGATGGCCTTGGGCTTTGGGGATATGTTTAATATCTTCATGGCAGCCTTTTAGGCCCCTAACACCAGTTGCAACATGGTGCGGGAGGAGAACAGTGCCAACAATGACATTTAATCAAGCGTTTTTGGAGATCCGAACAGGGGTCTCCCCAATGCAAGACAATACGGCTAAGCAGGTAGCTGCATCCGGTGAAGGAGCAGCGACGACATGTGTAGCTAAACGGGTGGAATTAAAAGTAACAGGCATCCAACGAATCGATAAGGTGTTTATGGAGTGAGAAATCGTCAGGTGTAGAATCCAGAGAGAGGAGTTCTAAGTATTTAGCCCATGAAGCAGGACCAAACAAGGCTTGGTACTTATTAGTATGGGAAGGGATCGTTAAAAAGGTGTACTAGGCACAAGGAGAGACAACCACGCCAGGTTGTCACCGTTGGGGGCGTATGGCTCGACCCAACCACAGAGGAGGGAGGGGAGAGGAGGAGAGTAGTCAGGAGGGTCAAAGGAGGAGCTAGGTCTGAACCCAATGTAGCAGGGAGGGGGGGGGCTACAGAGCCCGGTCTTCCAACACAGTCCGACTCGGAGGCTTGGTCGTCTACCCCACGAGCCTAAGAAGTCAGAGGAACACTATTCAGCAAAATGAAAACGAGAGGTTATACTTTCATTCACGAATGTGCACCCGTACCCACCATAGAGCCACAATTAGAGGCAGGACACCCAACAAGAGACATGTTGCCGATCATGCCGGGGCCCTCTAGGGATGCGTCGTGAGAATACGCCCCACAAACGCCACCTTAAGAACCATCAGTCCGTCAAAATCGGGTTCAGCAACCGGGTTCAGCAACGAAATGAGGATTGACAACAAAAGGGTCCCCTCACTTGAGACGTTGGGTTCTACGGGCAAGAGATTATGCCTCCCCAAACACTCGGGAATCAAAACAGAAGAAACCTGGTAGAGTAATCAAAACTGGCAAAAGGTCGGCAGGAAATGACAATTAGAAAGGAGAAGAGGGGGGGGGGGGAAGGAGGAAAATGAAATTAGGAAAAGGAAAAGATTTCTGGCACAATTGGTGAAGGCAGCAGCAGAAGTATATGGCATCAAAAGGACAGAGGACTTGACTCGTGAAGCATCACACACTGGCAGCCGCCCCCCCAAGCCTTCTCACGGCGACAACGAGCCAGAAAGGAAGGGGGGTATAATAATACAAAACATTATATACATCTCCCCAAAACAGTTCTTTATATTGGAAAAACGTAAATTCTAGTTTTTTGTAACTTTCCAATTCGACATTCATACAAAAGTAATGCATTCAAAATAAAGGTTTGAATAGCAAATTACTATAAAAGAAATAAAACGAATTTGGTCTTAACATTTAAATATGAATATATTTATCATCTTTGAACCATTTGTAAACTACCTGTTTTCTTACCCTAACTCCTACAAAATAACCAGTAAAAATCTGTTATTTAGAAAAATCAATTAAAGTAATGTGGAACTCTTCTGACTGTAACCTGACCCACTATTGGTCATCTTTATGAGGCGCTTTATATGCTAGGATGTGGATAACTTAACTATTTAATTTTAATTTCTAGCGGACTGTACAAAAAAAGGTTACTCTACACAGTTACCACAGTGGGGTGTTACTTATTAATTATTTGAATTCAGATGGTGCCGTATTTATTATTTGATTTAAAGCATTAGTTCTGTTACTCAAGGTTCATTTCAGATTAATGAATTTATTTTATTTACTGCACTGAGAATTAGAGTTAGCAATAAACAAAATTCTTACCTAAGAAAGTCCATAGACCAGAGTAAGCTTCAACTAACATCGTCCATGGATGAGAAAGAGCTTCATGGGGAATATACGAGTCAGACAAGAGGCCGCCAATGTTGATGCTTCCTTTCCTGCCGACAATCGAATTATTAGAGTGGGAAAATTCACAATTTATGTAATTAAAGAATCCGTGTTTCATCACTTTTTAACTTCAATTTGAAGTAATTATTTTCACTTGATTATGGTGATGTCCTACAGGTGACCACGATCACTCCAAATACCTTGTATACACAAGAAATTGCCTTAATGATATTAAATGTGAGACAGTGTAGTTACCTCAAACGAGGCTATTGGACCTTCAGGCAACTAATGCAAGGATTTTGACAACGTCAAAATGTTATGTCACCAACGTGGGCCGTGTTGATATCCATAATGGATATGGAAATATCCAAACCCTCCCCCCCTCCCACTTTCCGAACTCTTAGTCAGTGCGAGGGTTAATAATTTAGAAGTGGTCGCTAAATTCTAATTAAGTTAATATTATTAACTATGTATCTATACAGTATTAGATTTTATCTCCTCCTTTTAGTTTAATAACGAGACATAATAGAACATCGGGGAGCTGACCTGACCCAGCAGAGAATTGCGTCAGCCCTCAAGGTATACTGCCGAGTATTTAATTTTAATTCTATTATTTTAAGCAGAAAACAAACTTCATAGCAATTTAATATTTAGTATGAAAGTGCTAAATGTGTAAATTATTTCCAATATATATGCATTACTAGAAGCAAAAGATGAAAAGCTTTCCTCTATCAACGTAACTGAAATACGACTAAATGAACCCTTTAACCAACAACAGTACACACCTTAAATGGTTACACAGCTATTCACATCTATTCACAAACTTACCGCAATGCACCAGGCCTCTTAAGACTCATTCATAATCTACTGCAAGAGCCAGAATCTGGCTCACATAAGGCCAACCTGAGAAACGGAAAATTCAAACAATAACACACGTGCAACGAAACTAGTGATTGCATTAAGTAAATTTGCAATTCCTAGACAAATGAGGCTTACTATCAATACTACAGGGAAAATACCCCGATTGAGAACTTTGCCTTCAATCAGTTGGCTTTCTCCAATGTGTTTGCTCCCTCTGATGAAAAAGTAGGACCATACTTACCAAGTCCATTGGATATCTATGCTTTGACTGGCATTTAATTCTTCTCTGTTGAATTAATCTGCAGGTCCGCTCGTATCATACCTTCCTCGTCAACATTGACCGCTCATCCTTTCATCTATCAGTCGCCCCACTGTTAAAGATAGAAAACAGTCACTGTGGCTCACATCCTATTTTAATTGCACTGTACATCAATCACTACAGCACACTACTCACTGCCTTTGGTGGGTACTACATGTGCAGCGTGACTATTGTGTCTTTGGGGATGGCTGTTACCATGCTAAGAGTAGCCTAGGTTCAGATTCCTGGCTCTAGTCTGATGCTGAACTAGCAGAGGCAGTACCTGCGGATGTGAGCTCTAGGCTAAAGGCCTTGACTTTCAAATTCACTCTGGTCTTGTATGAAAGGCCTTTTTTTCCAATATACTTTGAATTACAGGGTTAAACCTGGTTGATGCCCTGTGTGTGCATTGTTTGTTTGGAGTTATATGTGGGAAAATCTCTCATACCTATGTACAGTACTTGTAACCGATTACAGGTAAATTTCCAGATCTTTTCTACTCTTAAACACCAGCCTGAGGGAGGATCGTCTTATACTTTGATCTAAAAGGCTGTTTGAAGTGGTCCACAGACTTGTACAGTGCAACCCGAATTAAATGAACAATATGGGACCAATCTAAATTCGCTGCAATATGAAGGGCTCGTTGCAATAGGAGATGCCTCCACGAGGCACATATTTGTGAACGAAAACCGGCAATCTTAAAATTAAAAGGAACCATAGAATTTGGTTTTAAATGTGCTCAGTGGCTGTCTCAAGGCTTCAACTCTTAATGTTGTGTTCTTTTTACGAAAATCTTTAAAAATGTGATTGGAGACTTGGGATATAACCACCCTGCTGTGGCGCAGCCCCAACATGGGTACTGGAAGGAATAGCGCTGAAACCCTACTGAGTTCTCTTATGTCATATGTACTGGTCAGGAACAGTTCTCCACCCCCCCCCTTCCCCAAGCCAGGCCCCTTCCGTCATGTGCCCCACACATTCAGGCTGGGCCACGACTATCAAGATCTGCAAGTCTTGGGGTAAAAATGAAGACAATACCTCGTCTGTATTCTCTAAAATGTAAATAAATATTTTCAGTTTTATGTACAATATACATACATGTCAATCCACTGCAGTCACCAGTCAGTCCCAATAAAGCAGCCCGTCTTCCAAACGAAGACCCAAAAGTGATTCCATGCACCCACCAAATCTCCTGTTTATGAAAGAAAATCGGTTTACACGACTCAACTGATTTCGTTGGAACATATCTGGAACAAGTGCTTCACTGACTAATTTTGTTCGAATCACAACGTTATAAATGCTTCACCCACGTACTACAAATACAAATAATCGCCAACAGAACCTAAACACCTAACCTATGCCTATATATGCACAATATGCTATTATAATAATTTATATTTGATAAAGTTCCTGTTTTGAATGAACAGCATGTTAAAATTTATGAATGCGTCTGTGGGGGTCAACCGCTGGATGTAGTAGACTTGAGTCGAGGACGGGTTGAATAAGGACTTAAATCACTTTACATTTCTGTACTATACCAAGGTAGAAAAATGCCACATACCTCCCTCAAACGCCGAGCCAACACACTGCTTGCCGGGGTGGAGCACGTTTTCGGCCTTTTGTATCAATGGACCACAAGCCTAGTACTTTATGCTTCTGCCACTGGACCGAGTGGAGTACTGACTGCCCAAATTGATCCGTGCGCTTGGTTTCTAGGTCGGCGACTCTGATTGGCTCATTTCCCGCCACCAAACGTGCAGTTCTGGGCCAAACTGCTACAACAGGCGGCCGGCCTCGTTCTCTTCTGCAACAGTTCAACACGTTACAAGATTAAATCACAATTAGTATCGTAATTTTGGTGCGCCGAATACACAAGTACTTTATAATGTGGCTTTCCGAAAAAGCCACATTAACAAAGTATATTCATACCGTAATACTCTCTACTGTGTATAGGGTATTTACATTCATACCCTAATATTTCACACGCTCTATAGCCGATTTCTTTGGGCAAAATTGTAATTTAAACCAGTCATATGAAGGACACCTACAAAGAGAACCTATCTCCTAACGTATTTAATCACATTGGTATATTTCCCCACACTCTGGCCTCAAAAGCTTATTTTCAGAGGAAAACAGGTCCATATTTGTGAATGAAAACCTGGAAATCTCAAAATGAAAAATATAATAGGTTTTAAATGTGCTGAATGGCTTTCTCAAGGCCCCCTAACCTTTCTATTGTTGCGTCCATCTACGAAAATCATTAAAAATGCGACTGGAGCCACAATGAGTCACCATACCTCCGCCTCAAAATCGATTTTTCAAAGGAAAAAAAAGGTCCAAATTTTACTGAACCAAAACCTCTGCAACTTGGGAGAAAAAAAAAATTGGTTTTAAATATGCTCGGTGGCTTTTCCAAGGTCTAACTATTTCATATAATGTTGCCTCACTATGAACTCAGTCCTAACAAATTGATAAAATCCCCCACATCCCCAGTTTCAGCGAACTCTTGCTCGTCGAATCAGGCAAGTAAATCTGGCATGAAAAGTGTTCTCCAACTGGAGATTAGTTGAATTGAGATTCCTCTATTTGGTGGGCGATTATATAGATATAGATATATTATATTTATATATATATATATATATATATATATATATATATATATATATATATATATATATATATATTTTTATTTTTTGGTAACATAATATATATATATATATATATATATATATATATATATATATATATATATATATATATATATATATATATATATATATATATATATATATATATATATATATATTGGTAACAAATCTTTCTTGTAAACATACGTTGTTGAATATGACCGATAGGGTAAGATTAATGATTCTAACACGAATCTTCTCATTATTTCTTATGTAACTTCTTAAAAGTTTGCTCTGTGGTTGTCGGTCGTCTTAAGGTCACGAAATGCCTCTTTTGGCTTTTGGTCTCGAAATGCGGACACTTACGTCTGCCGATAAGCCTCAGGAAACAACTCTTAAGTTATAATCAACTTTTTGACAGCGTCATAGTCACTCGAGTCACTGAAGGTATTGAGTACGCAGTTTGGCCTTTGCCAGTCAGCACTGATTGAATCATAATTACCCAATTGTCCTTATCAAGCCTTAACTTAGAGAACAGTAAGCTTAACTTAGTAAAAGTTAAACAGTACAGTAAGATACAAAAGCTCTTATAAGTAACATACATATGCCCAAAAAGGTACCATACTTATGCCCTTATAAGAACAATACATATGTTCTTATAAGTATCATACATATACCCTTATAACTACCATACATATGCCCTTATAAGTACCATAAATGCCCATATAAGTACCATTCATATGCCAATATAGGTACCATACAAATGCCTTTATAAGTAGCATACATATGCCCATATACGCACCATGCATAGTAGTCTCTAAATACATAAGGAATATTGATATAATGTTATTTTGATTATCCATTTATTATTTAGCTCATTTTGATTATTACATTTTTTAAAACTCATTTTCCTTAGTAATTTGTTGAGAAAACACGATGATAGGTTTGATATTTGAGGTGGCTGTATCTCAGTAAATACGGCTGTATAGGCGTTACTATTTAAAATTAGCAAAGAAAGACTTTATAGAAAGAAGGGTAAATTGCTGTGGTAAACACAATGGTACCATTTTCAAAACGATTCTATGGCTGGTTTTGATTTTGAGTTTTGTGAAAAATGACGATTTCGCCAGGGCTCGGATTCTTTGCAGGCGGCGGGCTGTATGTATGTACCCCATCTTTGTCTTCGTCCGCTGGTCAAGTTTTTATTACTTGATTTAATCATTGTCTATCTTCTATATCTATAAAATACAGATGACTGTCTGTACGGATAACCTCCTTAGCCGCAGTGTCCGCACGCTTATTTAAGGACACAAATATGGATGGGAACCCAGCCAAAAACTACTTTCTTAAATATGCTTGAGCTAAGAAACGGCCAATGTTGAATTTCGACAACCACAGAATGGACGATAGGCTAACGGACTCCAGAACCAAAAGGGCACTGCGAGAGTCAACTACAACAACGAAATAAGATTGACAGCGAGAAAACAGTTGACAAAGAGCATACAAATTTACAAGTTCTGCTATGAAGACGCTAGTCTCCGAAGGCAGGCGACGTATGTATGTGGTCAGGAAATACAACAGAGTAGCTTACACCGTCGGCAGACTTAGACTCATCTGTGAAGATGGCAACGGAGCGGGAATGTGAAGAAAAGTTTGCACGGAAAAGGCGTTTCAGAAATGTAGGAGGGGAAAAAGGCTTAGCCATCTGGGTCAAGGTGTTGCAAAACTTTGGGAGTGGGACCTTCCATAGGGGCAAGGATGGAATGACACTAGGAGAAATATTGGTAATATGAACCAAGGGTCTTGCAAGCAAGATAACCGTACAGAAAGAGGTAGGTGGTGAAAAGGAACAGGGCCCACAGGAGGGGCAACGATCAATGCGCGACAAGTGAGAGTGAGGGTGTAGTAAGAACCGCGCAAAGTAGCGAAGACAGTACCGATTACGGCGATCCTGTAGAGACAGGACGCCAGTTTCAACATACAGGTTCTGGGTAGGTGTCGAACGAAAGGCACCAGAGCTGAGGCGTAGCCCAGTATGGTGCAGAACATCAAGACGGCGAAGAGTAGGAGGAGAGGCAGACAACCATAAACTAGTTTAGACAGGACGAGAGAGGAATGTAAAGAGAGGAGTGTGCGCCTATCCGCTCCCCAAGAAGTATGCGACAAAACATTAAAGTAGGTTAAGGGTCTTAGAGCATTCAACTCTGAGGTAAGAGATATGGGGCGACAAAGACGAACGAGTGTCAAAGATTAACCCGAAAGGTTTACCAGAATCTTTTATACAGTAGAGGACTACCATAGTGACAAAGGGGGGCGAAGAACGACCTGCTTCCAAGTAAAAGTCACAGCACAAGTCTTAGTTGTAGAGACATTTAAGCCATGATTGGTGGCCCAGGACGACACGGCATTAAGCACAAGTTGAAGCCGCCGTTGAGGAAAGGCGAGTCATCACCTCGACAACGAGAGTAAGATCGTCGACGTAGAGCGCTGAGAAAATGCAAGAGGGGAGGAAAGAAGACCATTGAGGGCATCCAGAGAGTAGTGCTTAGCACACTACCTCGGGGTACACCTTCGTATTCCCGAAAAGAGAGAATGGCACCAAGCTTCACTCTAAAGGAACGACGAGAAAGCTTTGTAGGAAGAGAGGGGGAGAAGAAGGCCAAAAGAACGGAGTTGAGACAGAATATGACATCTCCAGGTGATGTCATACGCCTTTCTTAGATCAAAAAGGACAACAACAACGGAGGTCTTCGCAGCAAAGGCAGTACGGATATAGACCTCCAAGTTACCCAAGATATCAGTCGTGCTGCGACACTTGCAAAAGTCAAATTGATAAGGGGAGAAAGATGGTGATTGTGTTAATACACAGGATACAACATTAACAGTCTCATTGTCTACATTCTACTTGATACCACTATTCAGTTCTTCAATCACTTGATACCACTATTCACATAGCCGTAAATATGTACCCGGGAGTTAGGCAACTGTTGTGGGTTGCATCATTGAGGTCAGTTGTTGGTTGGCTTAGCCTAGGGAAACCTCGATAAGCCTAACAGGCTTCCTGTCCCCGATTATTGGAAACTTAGGTGAACCATATTAATGGAATGGTTCAGTCCATATTAATATTATGTCTCCGTGGCGCAGTTGTAAGACACTTGCCTGGCGTTTCGCGAGCGCTTTGTCCCGGGTTCGTATCCTGGCCGGGGAGGATTTACTGGGCACAAATCCTTAACTGTAGCTTCTGTTTAACCCAACTGTAAAATGGGTACCTGGTTGTTAAACGATTTGGCTGGTTGTATTCCAGGGAACATAGGATTAAGGACTTGCCCGAAACGCTGTGCGTAGAGGCTTTAGGTATTGCATTTACTAGTTTTATAAATCTAACATTATGTTTGTAACTCTCATCTATGCATGTACTTTTCCTGAATAATTTTTTTTATTTAAATTAAGAATGTAAGAACTCCTGCATATAAATACAGTACACATAGTAAATGTACTATATATATATAGTAAATGTATATAATATAAAGTATAAGAATGTAATTCTTGTATATATCTCAAGTGTACTGACTTTTAAAAATGCTTTAGTTACGGCTACTTTGTCTTGGGGACTTCACAGAAAATGAAAATGTTTTCAATGGATAACTATTCTATAGTTTATAACTATATATCTTACGACTTCACTTCTAGTAACTAGTGTTTCAGCTTGTACGACGATCTATATCACACGAAATGTACTGTGTGGACAAAGACTAGGACACACACTAGAGCACTATATCTTAAATGTGTGAAAATTTAGTCGTTTAGAAAGATAAATTTACGTAAATCTTATTGTTATCGGATAAATCGTGTCCAATATCCGTATTTCACTTCCAGCAAAAGAAAATGATGAAATAAGTTTTGTAGCCTAAAATCAACAGCTAAACTTCTGTCACCCATAAATACAGTTTTTATATATATTATGTAACCGTGATTACGAGGGAGCTATGTCCAGTCATCCTCCTGAAATGATTGTACTTAATAATTCATTGTGTCGGGGGACAGGCAGCCACTCTATACATACAGCGTCATACATACATGTTAGGCTTATATGGAGGTCCCTCTCCCGCTCGCTAAGGTGGAATTACTGACTCCCCAGGACGCAACCCCACAACAAACTGACTAACTCTTAGGTACC